GGGATATAAATATTTGAATAAATAAGTAGTTTGGGCAGGTTGATAACATTTAAGCAGCTTCCTGTTTGTTAGGTTAGGCAGGGTTTTGATTGTGATTATTCCACATTTATTATACTTGACCTGTAATGCTGGTTCTCATATTTCACTAAAAACCCCAAAGTAGACTGCAAGAGTTTTTTCTCCTCTAAGTGCTGGTATGTTTTCTAAGGGTCAGCGCAAGGCGAAGGTCCAACCCAGGTCCAACAATACACTGGACTGGGGCTGGTAGATCTATTCTCCATAGACCAGGTCCAACAATATACTGGACTGGGGCTGGTAGATCTATTTTCCATAGACCAGGTCTACCCCTGTAGAGGACAACATTTTGTGTAATGAAATTTGGCTTGACTCTGTTTTTCTGTTATAATGTTTAAATTATTCTTAAAATATAGTTTAAAAGAATTCGTTCTAAGATTTTTACAAGGTTATGGAAATAATCTTCTAAAAATAATTTATGCAATAGTCAAATGTAGACTTGCTCACAACTTTAACACTACTAGCTTTACTACTAGCTTTTTTTGCTCACAAGGTAGAATTTTTGCTCACAACACTGTAGAATTTAGAGGGAACATTGGTAACTCTCACTTAATCCAATCAACTTTTTTGCTTTATCTCACCTAACTGCCCCCTCCTTACTGTAGGCCCTAGCCCACATGCCTTTTATCCATACGGGTCTCATGTTCCCCAATGTAGACTTTCTGGTGGTCAACAGCAGAAAAGCTGACTCGATCCAAATCCTTCTCTGAATGTGGCAGACCAAGATTATACTGACAGCATACACCATAATTCAATCCAAAAACATTGTTCATGAGCATGAAAGGGCTGACAACCAAAAATAAAGGCAATATGTCATGGGAATATCCAAATGGCAACCCCTGCCGCAGGATGAAACGCTAACCCCAAGGATTCGAGGGTGGGGGAATCACCTGTATGAGGCTGGGCCCTCAGCACCTATGCTGGCATCAGAATTGGGGTGGAGGGAGGAGTTCACATCACCCCAACCCTCTTCCCCCTGTCAGGGAGTTCTTTTGTCTTCGACCTTTTCTCTGTATCTTTGCTGATGGGGGAGCAGCAATCACCACATCCTCCTCGGCCTTGAGTTTTATGGCCTTACGTACCTCAGGCCTCTCCTCCCAGGTCCCACTCCCCGTCTTCCACTCTTGTGAGGCTTTCAATCCCCACAAGCCTACGCTGTGTTCTGTAGCCTCTTCTTTGGGGTCCTCTGCTGCCCTAGCCGGCTGCCTATGCAAGGGAGGAGCCAGCTGTTGTGAAGGGAGGGGCATAGCCCCATCCAGCAGCTGAACGGCAGCGCTGCTCCCATTGAGCCAGCACGTGTTTCCTGTGGCTCCAAAGCAAGGGCCTTGCCATGGCAGGACAATGGGCAGATACCATAGTGGGATGGACTCCTACCGGGAGGGTGAGTTCTGATGAGGGAGCAGAGCCAATGACAGGCCCAGCCCCCAGAGTTGCGGCATGAGGAAGGCGGCTAGCACCTGGGGCAGTCCTGACCTTGGGACATACGGTCTGCTCTACCTTACTGTTTATCAGAACAACTCAATGTGCACTATTGGAGAAGCACCATGAAACTATTAGGGGAGTAAACATTCACTGAGCTTACTCATCCAGTGTCTCAAAGTAAACTAAGCTTTCTTGATAAAATACTTACTGATTTCCATGTCGTAACATTTTTTTCCACAAATGTGAAAATTCTGTCACATTGATCCAATGGAAGGCAATCCAAAACATCTCCCAACAGCACAAAAGGGGTTGATGCAGTGCAAATACCTTTAAGGGAAAAGACAAGTTTATGTACAAAATCATTTACTTGAAATTAGAAAGAAACAAGATAAAGTTCAGTTTTGCAGAATTCCCTCCTCCCAAGAGAGACAAAGTAGTTGGGGAAGTGTTAACTGCAGTTTGTCAATGTGATCCTAACAAACATAATCTGTTCAAGCCTCTGTGCAAGTACTCCTGTGTTACAGCAAGTGCGTCACAGTTTGCTACTGAAGTTTTTGATCTGACTGCCATATCGTCATGACAATTACTTTCACTAAGTAACCGCTTTGCTTTGAAAGAAAGTGGATTTTAAGTTCTAAAATGTTATGAATGGGAACACAAGAGATCAATGAAAATGAGTAGCCAAGTTAGTCTGTCTGTAGCAGCAGAAAAGAGCAAGAGTCCAGTAGCATCTTAAAGACTAACAAAATTTGTGGCAGGGTATGAGCTTTCATAAGTCACTGCTGAGCAGTGATACTAGACTCTTGCCTGAAGGAGATGCCTGAAGATCAATGCACATTCTAATCAAAATATTTAAATATTTAGATGTTAGCCTACTATATAATAGGGTTGCCAAATGTTTTTTGGCCGGGAGCGGGGGGCTCCCGGCTGGAGTCTTAGGCGTGCGCATCACCCGGAAGTGACGTCGCACGCTGGGGGCGGGGCCACGCCATTTGAGGGGGAAACTCTTGGTTTCCCCCGGGCCCCGATTCCGCGGGAGTGGAAATCAGGGCTCGAAAGCGGGGGGAATTCCGCCCCCCGGGGGCATTTGGCAGCCCTAGTATATAAATGTATTTGCATAGTTACAGAAATCTGACATCCTGAATTTATTAGAATTCTTTCCACTGCAATTTTATTACATTTCTTTCACTGCAAACATATGGCATTCAAGAGAAAACTAGTTTCCATTACTAATACAATATGTGATGGTCAGTATGTAAAGAAGAGACTGTAAGGGCTGGAATGTAAAATCCTTAGCTCAAGATTCAGTTCATCCAGTGGGGGATTGAGACTGCACATACTGTTGCTGGCCTGCATACAATCTGATGTATTGTGGAGTGTTCATGCACAAATTGCATAGTACCTTTTGTGGGGGTGAAGATTAACTGTGGGGATAGCATGTATAGACATATACTTGCATCACAGTATGACATACTTGTAATGAAGGGCATGACATGTACAGGATTTCCAGCTGGCAACTGGGTGAGCTAACCCTAAGAATGCCTCTAGATGATGGCAAACATGTACAAGCCTTTGTTTCCGATAAGGATAAAATATAAATGCCCATTCCCCATGAACTTTTTACCAGGCATCAAGTCGTATAAACAACTAAAAAGATCCAAAACATGACCCATGGTCATATCCAGAGCCAAAAAGACTTGCACTACAAAAGAACACCATTTTTCAATATTCCCTAAAGAGTGTTATATAAGGGTACATTTGACTATAACTGAGGATTTTTAATGATTTTTTAAATGTAAGCCATCTATAGGGTTCATTTCCTATTTTAAAATCTATGGAAGGAAAAACATCAAGGTAGTAGACAATGTATTGGATAGGCTCTTATAGACGTATATAGCAGTTGAGAATTATGTAGACATTAAAAGAGAGCTGAGAATTGTATATTTAAAATTAAGCAATGTGGCCCCCACTCACCTTCTGTAACCCCATTAATAGCAAGAGAAATGATTGCCAGGACATTTTCGCAGGAAGCTTTGTTTATCTAAAACACACAATACAAGGCAGCTTACTCACCATATGCAATTGAAACATCAATTAGGTCAGCAAAAGCCAGTAATGATACAAAACTATACCAATAAAACACTAAAGGAATATTTAAGTAATATTCCTTATTTTGATTTAAGAATTAGAATATTACACATTAATTGTGAACAGGTAACTCACTGTAAAATTTCATAACAGCATACTCTTAAAACATGCTGCCGCATGTTTTGTATAGAGCATATCAACTACAACATCAGCAAACTGTCATGAGACAACAGAAAGCTGATACAAGAATGTGGGAGTATAAAGTACAGCAAAATTCAAATAATATCAATAAAAATTGAAGAATACCTGGTGATCGTTAAAGCTTAGAAATGTTATTTACTGTATCAACAATTATTCTTTATTATTTAATTTCCCCTCAGAATTAAATTTATTTGTACATAGTATCATCTGCTGGTATTTTTGAGGAAGTACTCACAATTTCTTCTTCTAACACAACTCTGAAAGCTTGATCCAGGGTAAACTTTTTTTCATTTTCACTACAAATCAAGAACAGTTTTAGCCTGCTTAAGATATTTATTCAAAACATTCCACCGAAGCAGCTTACACAACAGCATACAAAACAAATTCATTAGGAAAAGTAATAACAGCAACCAAAAACTCTTATTCCAGTACAGAACTGCAACCATTTTTAAAAACAATTGAACAGCTTATATAGACAAATGCAACTAACAAAATGTCTTCTGAAACACAACTGTCTTACAGTGCTTTCTGGAAAACAGTAAGACCCTTTTAACTACTCAGATATTCCACTACTCAGAGGACTGGACAACACCTGGGCTGGGCTGAGGACGATAGTACAATTCAGCAAAAGATACACAAGCAAGGAAAGCCAAAATGAATAAAGTGGACATCAAAAAGGTCTGCAATATCAATAAAACATCATTTATTAAATATTCTGATGCCACTTTTTATCCAACAAATTCTCCAAGGCATAATCCAATCAAATAAAAAGAATTAATACAAGAAGTAAGATCAGCAGCAAAACACACAAAAAGGTTGAGAATATAAATAACACAATCAAATAAATCAAAATGAGCAATTATCTAAAAATGAACCATTGTTGGAATTCAGATCACACACCAAATGTAGCAACACTGCCTTTGCCTGGTGGCTGAAGGTGACAAGGAAGAGCTGGAATAAGGGAGGGTGGTCCAGAACTTCACATTACTGCTGACAAGGCTCTATCTTATGTAACAGCCCACCCTCAGACTTTTGGGGGCCATGCAGCAGAAAGAACTTTAAAAACAGGATGGAGAAGATGGTCCTTGACGTAGTCTAGGACCAAACAAGTTGAGCTTTATATGTTATCACAGCACTTTCAACTTGATCAAGGAGTCAACTCCCAAACAGTGAACACTGGCATTATACAGTTCCTGTAGCTCATTACAATCAATCTAGTAGCTGTACTTGGAACCATTTGTAGGCCACATTAAGTACCGCACAAACTTACTGTGGGTATATATGCCCTTTCTGTCCAGGGAAAGGCACACTTGGTGAACTAATTTAAGCTGAAAAATGCACTCATGACCCCCATTCCAGCACAAAATGCAGTCCAACACTTGGATTAAATAGACTGCCTAGCCATCAGGGCTTCCATTTTGTATACATAAAGTTTTATTACACACAAAATGCAAACTAAAGTATATTACCTTCCAGGTACCTGGCTGAAGGCACTCAATAAAGGTTTAATAGTTTTGTTGTTGAGAGCATCTCGAGTAGAGTTCTGAGAAGATAATGAAATATCTATGGTCAGTAAAGTGTAACAAATACATTTTAAAAACCTCACCTGATAACTGACAGTGGTTTTAAGAGAACTGTTATTCATTATTTTACCTGTGTGTGTTCTAAAGAAACTAAGCTATTTCCATGAACCTAACCGACATCAAAATGGCTTTAAAATCTACAGACACTTGCAATCAAATGCTAAACACATTTACTATGAATCAAGTTACAATGTAATTTACCCCTGTGGTCCGTTGTTTACCAGTCAATTCTAATCTAAATTGATAAACTGAAATAAATAAGGCTCCTAGGAAAGGTTACTGGGATCAAGGTGTTAAAACACGTTAAGGAATCCCACAGCTTAGTAAATGCCTGAAGACAATTTTATGCTAATCTAATCATTTTCATCTTGTATCAGAGGAGAAAATTATAACAATATCTTCCATAGAGGCAAAAAGCTTAATCTTATATATAAGTGCAGGTACTTTCAAGATACTATTCCTCTTATAAAAAGAAACATAACATGCCTAACAGAGTGTACACTACGGATGAAGTCTGGTTCTCTAGAACTAAACAAAGAACAATATTTACTTATTTCACAAATTAACTGCATATTAAGGGCGTCTGCACTTACTGTTACCATGTTCAAAAGTATATATTAATGACAGCCAATAATGTTAGCTGATTCCAGACTATGAGTTAATACCGCTCTTGCTTTCAACAATGTAAAATTCTGCATGTCTTGAGGAGACTAGAGGCAAAACCTTCCCTCCTAGAGAGCAGACACTGGAGCATTACAGTACCTCTCTCTATGCTAGTCCTGTAACAGCAGGCCATCTTGCTCCTAGGTATACCAACACGCCTGCTACTTGTGTGACTTCTGGTATTCATACCACAGTACTGTGGCCAAGGGCCAAATAATCTTTCTGGTTTCAAAATTAGTATGTGTATGTAATGTGAAACTGAAATCCTCACCAAGCAAACAAAAGTGTTCAATCTTAAGCAGGCACTACTACATCTACTACTCCAGCATATGGGGAATACGCCTTTCTACTTATGAGGTACCTTTACAATTCAGGACATGTAAAACATAGGTTCTTGTCATTCTTTTCTTAACTCTGAAATTAAGGGAGACCACCACGGCTATCTTGAACAGTCAAGAGGTGTGCTACAATTTCACCAGTTTTGTGCCCAAGTTGCTTCACAGACCAGAAGCCTTAGACCCAAACACTTCTCTCTGCTTTACATGTAGCTCTAGTTCATGTACTCAACTAAGGAATATGTTGTTTATAAATGATGTACCTGGTAGAAGGTAAAGCGAGTAATGGGAACATAGCAGATATCTATAATAGATACTTTGTTGTTCAGTCGCACAGTCGAGTCCGACTCTTCGCGACCCCATGGACAATCTCCACACATGTATCACATGCATGTTTCATTGATTTATCAATGGGGGAACCATAAATATATTACTTACTGCATCCCAAAGCTAATCAGTTGGCCTTGGGACAGTATGACATGTATCACTCCTCTCAAGGCCAGTTATGTATTATCACAAGCACTAGTGAAATTATTAACTCTTAAGATGGCATACAAAGCCTCATGAGTAGCCCTGAGAATATGGAAGCTCAGCCCAGACTGAAACCACGGAACAGTGCTGTGCAGCTGGCCGGTTCCAGTAGGTCCAGCTGTTGTCATTAGCCAGGAGTTCTTGACAGCTGAAGGGACACAGGCATATTCTTTTCTTGCATTGATGTGGTTTTCTCCTGGAGACTACTCAAGCTACTTAATAAAATCTATTTTCCTTCACCATTTATATGTTCACTGCCTCACATCCCTTAGAAAAGAACCATTGCCCCTTGGCAATATGCTGTCCAAACCTATTTTGGCCCACTTTTTATTTTTTTGAAAGACTCTGTAGCAAAAGTTAAAATGGTTATCCTAAACACACGCAAATGTAAAACATATAAAGTTAAAAGCACATTTCAGAGACTATCTACAACAATATTTTAAAAAGTATTTTAAATGTTCAGAAAATATCTGAAGACATCTTTGTAATGCCAGAGAAAAGGCCAGAACACACTTTCTGTGGGAAAACTTTGCATGGCTTTCCATTTTTCTCCAGAAAATTTTCAGTTTCTAAGGATGCATTGTTTCATAAAACTATTGATGGACAGATTCTCTTGTCAACATAATATTAGGCAAGATTGGCTATTTCAAAATTGTAATTAATGTCAGGTGATTATTGCTAGAAATTGATTGAAACCACACATGTATCACATGCATGTTTCATTGATTTATCAATGGGGGAACCATAAATATATATAAAAATCTAAATTTAAAAATTCACCTGATTGGTTGTGCAGATCAAACAAAAACCAAAGCTAAAATTTGTATGTCCTTTCTCATGTGGCTGGAGGGAAACTGTTATCATCAATCTGATATGTAACTGATAAGTATTGCAAATAATGAGGCACCCCAGGGACATCTGAGGATGGGAGTTAATTTCTGATTAAACAGATGTGCGGACTAGAACTACCCAATCCATGGCACATGGACAGTTCTTTGGCTGTGCTGAAATTAGCATGTCAACAGTTTTCAGTATATTTAATGTAAAGGAAATATCAATTTCGATATTATGTTTTTCTAATACAAATAATTTCCACTTAAGGCTTTGAATATTTGAATACATAAAGCATAGTTTAATTTTTTTCCTAAACAAATATTTCAATTCAGGCATTTATTGCTACTGAGACATAAAATTAACATGCAACTCTTTTCAAATTTGTTTACTAAACCTTAAGTTAAAATCAACACGCTACTTCAGATCAAAATCTATTTAGAGCATTAGACCATTTTCTTAAAAGTTTTCTAATTTTTCTTGAAAACCTGCATCACCGTGTGATATCAGAAACATCAAACACAACTGTAAAACTGGTACTTAACACAGTCCCAATTATTGTATGCATTTTGTACTCTGCCTTTTTTGACACAGCCAAAATGTGTGTATTTGCCATTCACTAAAAAGCCTTTAAAGCACAGTCCTAACCCTACTTTCTCATAAACTTACTCTAATGATCTGACTAGAATTTACCTTCAATAAAGTAGGCTTCTGTTTGCAGCCTTTAATCCTTACAAACATTAGGTATCAGTGTTCTACTCAGTACAGTCAGGATTTATTCTTGTCTCTAACTGGCATGTATAGAACATGGAAATTTATTACAATCACAGCTGTTTTATGATACATGAATACAGTGAAATGGATGTATTTTATTTATTTATTTATTTTTGGATTTATATCCCGCCCTCCCCGAAGGCTCAGGGCGGCTAACGAGGCACAAGTGCCAGAGTGAAAACAGATAAAAACAGCCTAAAAAGTATTACTACCTCACAACTCACACCTCAACTCACAAAAAATTGCTAAAAGAGGCTGAAACGGAGCAGTGTGTGCTAAGCAGACTGAATATAATTATACATTACTCTGGAAGGATATACTCAACATAAGCCATTATTCAATGCCAGATTTGGAACAATTACTTTTCCACCATGCAAGGCTTCATTTCCATTAAATGTGCATGTGGCAAACTGATCCAGTACAATTTGTCTTCACCATACAGCCAGTTGACCCATGTTGCACAAATCTGTGGCCAAATGCCAGTGGATCTTTAGGCCCCACCTGAAATTTGGCACCCAGGTATGATTGTTCACAGATCACAGCAGCATACAATGGTGGCATGTATGCACAAACGTCTGAATGAGACACCTCACATTAAACAGAACTTTCAGACTCTCATCGCCCCCTCTCACCCTAATTCATACATTCATCTCTGAGTGATTCAGTGAACAAATTCAATGGTATATAAGCATGAATTCTGATGGCACTTTATTATTATAAGGAAATGAGCCTCCCAAAGGTTGGAAATTCTCATACATAAAACGAGAAGCTTCGATGCTATTATTATTCACATAATTATGTGTATTCTGAATAGTTTTCAGATGTAATAAGCAAAAGGTGTGTGTGTGTGTGTGTGTGTCAGAAATCAGCTTCAGCATCTTCCCAAAATTAGTGAGGTGGGTCCAATAATCTAAATGAGCAATGGAAGCTGCCACAATGCTTCCTCCCAAGCGGTCTGCTTCCTCCCACGGCCACCCTGCCCCGACGCCACGCCAGCTTCCCGCCAGCGGAACGAAGGGCTTTGTCTCAACTTGACCAGAAGATCAATTCACAAAAGGGAACAGCATGAAGTCGAGAAAAGCCAGCTCGAACGTAGGCGAGAGAGAAATGGGAGCGCCCCCCAAACCTTGTCTGAAATGCGGCGGCAGCTACCCGCCATGCTCCGCCCGCCCCCGCTCACCGTAAAACGTAGCCGCGCCTCAGGCAAGCTGAAGAGTGGCGGCAACATAGCTCGTCCTGACAGACCCGTCCACCGTTCTTCGCCTTGGACTGATGACGCCATCCCTCGGCGCCCGAGAGGATTCCTGAAACCGTACGAGCGCCCCCTGCTGACGTCGCAGCTTGAGGTTGCCCGGCTACCCGGTTGTGGGTCTCTCTCTGTGTGTGTGTGTGAGAGAGAGAGAGAGAGCGCGAAAGCGGGAGAGACGCCTACTTGTAAGGGGCGGTACTGGGAGAGCTCACACCCGTGGCGTTTGTCGGGCCCTCTTCCTAAGGACGTTAGGTGGCCGGGACGAAATGTATGGCTGCTGCTTCCTTTCCCGAATTCTGTAATTTGCATTTCTATTCGACGTCAGCACCTTCCTTTCTGTTTAAAATGGGCGCGTGAGGGGATTCCTGGTTCGGCCCTTTTTATGTCTGTGTGCTTCAAAAGCTGCTAAACAACCTCTGTCCGAAAATAGGTACACTATTTTTTAAATTCCTGCCAAACACTTCATATAATATAGATGAGTTTTTTTAAAAATTTTTTATAGATACTCCACATTAAGTTTTTGAACATTTTGGAGCTGGAAGCCCTTTAGAAATGGAGAACATTATTGCCTTGGCAATGTTCTTTTTCTTTTTCTTTTTGTCCTCTCCCCCCCCCCTTTGTATTTTTTTGCATTTTCTACACACTACAATTATGGGACGGGGGAAGGGATACTAATACCCTAACACTAATACTATGAGTGATGGGTAAGGAAATCTAATACATAAATCTACTGGATAAGGGAAGGAGTACTACAGTTCTAATCTATTCCATCTACTGGATTTGGGGAATGGGTACATGTCACGATCTGAAAAGTTATAGAAATATTGTTTTTAAACCAAACTTAACACCTTATGTTAAGTTTTGATTCAATTATTAGTACATACTTAGTAGCTTAACGCAATTTCTGCCTTTAATACTATTGCCTTAGTTCTAGAGTCTTTTCTTCCTGCGTTTCTTCGTTTCTTCGTTTTCTGGAGTTTCGGAGCGGCTGCTCCTTTCTCCAATTCAGATGATTCTGATGACGTGGAGGTTTGGCTTGTTGAATCCTGTGAGTAGGATTCATCATCTTCTTCCTCTTCCTCCCCATCCGGTTTTAAGTTATTTTCCTTCTGCTGCTTTTTTGTGTTAAACACTTGGTCCATAAATTTTTCCGCTTTTGGAACAGAGTCAATTTTATATATTTTTTTTTCCTGGAAATTGAAGCTCAGCCCTTCCGGGAATAACCATCTATATGGTATTCCCTCTTTTTTTTGCAGAGTGAGAGTGAGCATCCTGTAGCGTTTCCTCTGTTTTCTAACTTCAAAAGGGATGTCTTTCAAAATTTTTACTTCTTCATTCTTGACTTTTAAGGATTTTCCCATTGTTGACTTTAGCACCAGTTCTCTGGTAGATCGTTTTGTGAATTTCAGATAGATTTCCCCAGGTAATTTATTTTTCTTTATAAAATCTGTATAAGTCCTATAGGCCACATCTATCTCTTTTATTAAATCTTCTTGTTTGTAATCCATTAATGGAGCCAAGGCAGCCGCCAAAAGTTATTTTAAGTCCTCATTTTTCTCTTCGGGGATCCCATGAAAACGTAGAACATACATGGATCTGTCCAGCTGAAGCTGTGTTATTTGCATTTTATCAACAGATCTTTCCTTCTCTGCTTCATCCACTCTTTTATTAATACTCTCAGTCTGTTTTTCCATCTTTTTCAACGTTTTCTCAGTTGCTGAGGTTCTTCTATCCATTTGATTCAGCTGTTTTTGGACATTATCAAGCTTAGTGTTGAGGTTAGTCATCTGCTCCATTAGGGGGTGCAGTGCATTTGCTAGCAGTGCGGAGAAGTCTGTAGTTACTTCCTGGTTCTGGGAAGGAGTCATTGGTATGTTATTTCCGTTCACCAGTTTTTTATCCGGCACTCTCTGTCCTCTCCCAGCCATAATATCAACAAGAAGTAAGTTTTCCAAAACAAGGCAAAAGTTATACGATTTAGTCCCGCTTCGTATACTTTAGCAGTTTTTTCATTCGTTTAACTGCTTATGTGCTTATTTTAGCTCAAAGTCTTTTATTTCCCTGGGCGCCATGCTGGCTCCGCGGCGAGGGTACCTTTCGGGGAAGAAGGTGAGCTTCAGTTCCTTGGCCATCACCTTGGAAGAGGCTCTCCTCAGCTCTCCAGGCTGGGGGTCTCCTACAAAGACCCAGGGGAGCTCCGGGACAAACTCGGACCCCTCCCATCAGCTGGGTCTCGGCGCGTCTCCATCAGAGCGAGACGGGACGCGTCCGAGCAGCAAAATGCTTAGACCAGAAGTCTCCTTGGCAATGTTCTCAAAACCCTTGAAACCTAAGTTTCCTAACTTTTATCTACTGATGCTTTGTTTTCAATTAAGACTGGCTCCCAAAGTGATGTACCTGACATAAATGTCGATAGAGATAAGTGTATATAACTGTCTTTTCCCTCCGGGGCAGACAGAACTGCAGATGGAACTGGAGATCTGTTGATGGCCAAGATGTCAGTCCACAGGTGGAAGTCCATTTTGTAGACCATTTTTTCCACTTCAGTTTTTGGCACAGTGCATATTCCAGGCATTCTACAAAGAGATGACGTTCGCTTGTGCAAAGTTTGTTCCAAAGCAAGCAAGACCACATATAGGAAAGTTTATTTATTGAACCATCTTTAGTGTAGGATAGAAAGGCAAGCTTTCATATTACAGAAATCTTTCAAACTAGATAGAAAGGTAACCAAGATACAGTAAAATTGGTGTCAAATGCTAGTGCATATCCTAGAACAAAGTTTGAGTCCGGTGGCGACTTTAAGACCATGACTTTGGCCAGAAGTTTATGAATTATTTGAAATATTTGTTTTTGAAAACAAGTTTTTCCTTTCCCTCTATATAGCTGAAAGTTTCCTTCCAACGTGCCTGGGCAGGGCTGGCTTCAAATTTTGGCAGCTGTCACACAAACAAGGCCTTGCAATCACAAACCTAGAAATAATGCCCCTCAACAGTGTGACATCACTTCTAGCACAAATCCAGAAGTGATATCATTGCATTGGGGCAAAGCTCTAGGATTCGGCTGCAACTCTATGGCATAATGACTTCCAGGTTCACACCCAAAGTGATGTCATGCTGTCAGAGTAACAGCATTCCCCTCACCTCTCACTGGTTCTAGCACTTGGCTGGCAATCCTACTGAGAGCATCGATGGATTTAAGAGGAAATTAGATTTATGGAGAATCGGTACATTGATGGCTTCTAGACATGATAAGTAAAAGGATTATTCATATACAAAGAAACTAAACCCCTGAATAGCAGTGCTAGGAGGCAGCATAAGATGAAGGCCTTGGCCTCTATGCCTACTTTTTGGTTCTACAGAGCAATTGGATGGTCACTATGGAAGAGGATCCTGAACTAATGGATCACTGGTAAGGTTGCCAGCCCCCAGGTCCAGGCGGGGCTTCACCTGCTTTAGGGGGCTCCAATCCAGCCCCAGCCAGCTGGCTGGTGGGGGAAGCCCCACTCCAAGCCCTGCCCTCAAGAGCGACCAGCCTCCCGCCACCCCTCTTCTCCCCCGCCTAATTTAAAGGGTTTCAGCTTATCAGCTGGTACTACATGGCCGGCCGACCAGCTGGAGGGCATTTTAAATCTAGCAGGAAGGAGGGTGTTATGTATTGGGACTGAAACATCCCAGGACTGTTCTACCAGAGACTGGCTGAGGTTGGAGCTCAAGAACAATAGCCCACCAGGACTCTGGAAGTAACCAATCTAGAAGTAACGTTATGTAAATAGCCTATCGTTGGCAGTGGGGTGTGTTTGGGTGTGGCAATTGCATGCTATTTTAACAGGGCTGAGGCCCTGGAGTTTAGTCTTGTTCTTGCTGAAATCACTAATAAAGTAGATCTGATCACTAGTAGTGGGGTCTGTTCATCCGTGGAACCCAGTATTTAACAGAGGGAAAGGGGCAGTCAGGCTGCACGCTTGGCTCACAAAAAGCCTATGACCACCCCTCTCCCTCCCTCCTGCTAGATTTAAAGAGCCCTTCAGCTGATTGGTGGGCCACAAGTTCTGAGAGGACTGTGACTGGCCCAAGGGGAGGGAGAGGGGTGGCCGGGCAGGTGGTCACTTTTGGGGGCAGGGCTTGGGGCATCCCCGCCCACCTCTGGAACACTCCCCAAATTCCCCTGCTGGAATGATGGGGGGGGTCCTGGCAACCCTAAACGTTGGTCTGATCCAGCAGGGCCCCTTTTATGTTCTTATGTGTTCATATGACCTCTTTTTGAAGAATGCAAATGTTGGGTACAGAACAAAGTTTGAGTCCAGTGGCACCTTTAAGACCAACAAGTGTGCATGCACACAAAAGCTTAGAATTAAACTTTGTTGGTCTTCGCTGGGAGGGCGGGATAGAAATCCAATAAAATAAAATAAATAAAGGTGCCACTGGACTCGAACTTTGTTCTGTTGCTTCAGACCAACACGGCTACCCACCTATTTCATGGAATGCTGGTTACAGTTCTTTTTTTGGAAGAAGCCTAATGCAGCAGAATCCCTGGATATCTCAAGGCACATTGATTCATCACGGGGAGGCCACAATGAACGGTTCATTATCCTGATAGTAGCCAAGGTTCCGCTTTTCTCTGGAATGGCTATTTTTTCCTGTAAATATGACAAGATTAGGTGTGGTCCTGCTCACTCTTCTGACTCTCCTGCCTTTGTTGTAACAGACCAGAAAACCGTTTTCTTGGCCTCATGTAACATGCAGTGAAGAAACCAAAACTGAGACTTGTTAGCAACACAGACTTAATCATGATGTCCCTTAATTTGTATATCTATATCCTTCATCATCATTTTCTTTTAAATATGATGGTATGTATTCCTCATATTTGTAACAGATACTTCAGTAGCAGAGACTTTTAAAATGTATTACTGATGTTGCATAGGCTTGCCATTAAAACCATTTTTTCATCTTTCAAAATCTCCTTCCCCTTTTCTGATTATGCATATTCCTGTAAGTTTAGCAATGTATTTAGGGCACAAATATGGCTAGGT